TTCTCACCTCCATCGGAATCTGCCTTCCTTAGATTACTTTCCTGGCAATTCTCACCTCCTTCCTGCCTGTTGTTCACATCCACAACACTCTCATCCTTACCCCTAGCTGTGTCATAATCACAGGAGACACAATCACTGCCGGTGAAATCAGTTCCAGTCACATCTTTTGTTGTAGGAACATGATGTCCGTTTTCCAATTTCAATGGTCCTGCAGGGTACAGATGAGGAGAAGGTTTGCAGAAACAGATGAAAGGACAACGAATCTTACGGAACAAAACCCTCATCAAAACTCAATCTTCCTACTTCCTGCACTACACTTAGCCCATTTGTCTGAAATTCCAGTTGAGAACAAAAATCAGACGACTTTAAGAGGAAGAAGCAAAACCCAACAAAAATTAGACGAATTTCAGAGGAAGAAGCAAAATCAAGAAAGGAAATTAAAGATTTTGGAGGTATCTGAAGATGGGTTTTGATTTTTGGAGAGAGGTAAGCTCCAGAGAGCTCTGTTTCCCTTGTTTTTAGTATAGAAAAGACACCATTAGGTGACAAGAAGGGGAAGAAGAAATGAGAACAGAAAGAACAAAAAGAAGGCAAACCAACCTTAGCAGGAAAGAAGAAATTGGAAATTTTGGAAGACAGAAACCCAACAGTGCAGACATTCTTTTATGCATTAATGTAAACTGTTGCTAGTCCCTCCAAATGGGGAACCTTTTAACTGTAACTTCTGTTATAAATATAGTTTATTAGAACCAACATAAAGATGCTTTTGAATTTTAAAGCTGCTTTTCTTACCAACCAACAACAATAAAAACATGTACCAAAAAAACAACAATAAAAACTTTCATAATCACAAATTTTTGGTTAAAATCTACCTTTTGTTCCATCAGAAATGCCCATGAAGAGGGGAGGAGGAGAAAACAGTGAATTGTTGATTAGAGTCTTAGAGTATGGAAGAAGGTCATAGAAAATTTTGGTCAATGATATGGCGTGTGAGAAAAGAACACATGGAGGCTAATCATGGATTAATTAAGCCATCATGAACCACATTTCTTACATCATATTGAGTCCGTCACTCAAGTTAAGTCAAAAACAAATAATCCACCCCGAGCTGAATTCAAGAATTCACAACTAACTTTCTTTTTGGATATTAATCACAAGTAGCTTTCTTTTTGGATATTAATCTACAAAACAAAAAACAAAGAAAAATAATTTAGAAATAATCATTTTATTTTACTTTTTGTATAATTTTATGTATCATTTTAATTATTAATTATTTTTATTTTTTTAAAACTCACGATATTAAATGCAGTTATTCATAAGTTATATAAAAAGATAATATAAAAAAATTGTTCTTATATATCAATACCTCTTGCCTTAGGTCATGGACTGATTAACTGAAAATTGGGAAAAATTCAAATTATTGACATAGCTTTATTTTGAGAGCAATCTCAGGTCCGGATTCCTGGAATCATGTCCATTCACATGTATATTAGAAAAGCATATATTCTATTTCCCTTATTCAGAATTGCAGAAAATGGATTGATTACAAAAAGGAATTTACTATAATGATTTTGCACGAAGCTTTAGGAGGAATTTGTGAAGATTTAAGCAAAAGAAAGCTGCTGCAGCTTTTGATAGAAACCCTAATCTCTTTCTGTTCTTGCTTTTTATTCCTTCTTAATGATTATGAAATTGGGTTTCTTACTATAAAGGCTTACATAGCTTAAGAGTTCTTAGAAGGCATAAACTTTTTCCTTTTCCTTTTCCATTTCCTTTCCAGAGCTTGATGAGTATGTGCTGCAATATCTCAAAATGCCATAGATGACATAATGTTTTCTTTGAAGCCTATTCTTTTTTTTTTAGTACATTTGATAATAGATTGTATAAAAAAAGGTATCACTTCTTTTTTTTCAAATCCTTTTCCCTCTAACTTAAAAGACTTAAACTTAAGATATTCAATTTAGAATTTCGTGCTTTTAACAAAATGAATCACCCTTTTGGAAGCTTTTCGAATCTATTCTATTTTTATTTAAAGTGGATGATACGCTTTATTCAAATGCATTTGTCACCATCCATGGGTTATACCTTGCTTAAGCCCTACATCAATGTCCAGCATGTCGGTGTTCTCCAACAAGATATTTTTTAAAGGCAAAACCAAAAAGATACCTTATTTATAATGATGTGAAGAGGAGCCGTGTCAAGCCAACTCTTCTCTGTCCCGAATAAAATTCTTAAAAGATTTGAACTCGAAACCTTCAAAAGTCTTGATTCACTGAGCATTTGAACATGATAACAACGATTTGATGTGTGAATATGAAATACAGAAACAGGGTATCCAAAGCATGGCACATGAGTTGTTGAGATGGTCATGGGGGTGGGGTCTGGAAATCAGGAAAGGGACATCAAGAAACAATATCATTAGAGAAGCCAATCAGAAGGTGGTGAATGGAAAAACCCAAGTAAAAATGGAAGATGAATTTTCAGCCTTTCCAATGTGTTAAAAGAGACAGGCGCATGACTCAAGGGCATATTATTGTGGGGGCAACAGTTCCCACCCCATTTCAACTCTGTCCTCCATGATACCCACATCTAACTTTAATAATTAAAGAAAGGTACTTTACCGCAATAAGCGTGTACTAGATTTTCTTTCCAGCCAAACTGTCCACATGATACAAACATCTGGATACAGAAGCTGAGTTAGAAAGAGTCAGAATATACTACATTTGCATTCATGTCTATGGATTAATCAATTTCACAGATTAAGCAAGCACTCATCATGATTCAGGATAAAAAAGGCAACTTGAAAAGAACAAATTTGTTTGAATATAATCTAAAAATCAAAAGAATATGCATCTTCTCATAAAATACGTCAGGGATCCCTTTGATCAATTTATCCGGGTGAAAAAGAAAGATCAAAATTTTCTAATAAGGCGGGGGAGAGGGGAATGGGGATCCAAGGGCACAAAAAATTCCACTTTGAGGCTTAGAATAACGGTAGATCCATAAGAAAACTCATCTGCAGACTCCTTGTGCAACTACTGCTGAATCTTCAGAACAGGGAAGGCAATGACATCCCGGATGCTGGCAGAATTTGTCAAAAGCATTACCAGCCTGTCAATTCCTAGTCCCTACATAAAATAATTTTCCATTGTAGTAGGATGTAATCTGTTATTATATACAGAAAACCACTAAAGAATGATCTACATTAACAAATAAAGAAACAAAATGACAACCATACCATTCCTGAAGCTGGCGGCATCCCATATTCCAAAGCTGTAAGGAAGTCATCATCAAGAGTCACTTCATATGAATAATCCTCATTTTTATTTCCTTCTTCTTCTGAACAATCTGCACCCAGAACAGCTTCTGCTCTCTTTTGATTATGCTGCCTTACTTGCTCTTCCAGGCGTGTCCTCTGTCACCATAAAAAACATTGGTATTGGCTTTTCTGTTGCTACCAACGGAAAGGAAGTGGCAATTCATGTACATATTGTGACAGCTATGTTGATTGAATTCAATTCCACTGTAATGTCAAAATGGTAACATTGCCTACCTGGTCCATAGGATCAGTTAACTCAGAGAATGCATTGGCCAGTTCACGACCACAAATGAAGAGTTCAAATCTTTCAGTTAGACCTGCATGCCTGTTGCCGAACAATCAAGAACACGTAAACATCTATATTATACAAAGAATAATATATATGCAGACAAGATACCTTCGGTGTGGTTTGGCAAGTGGAGATATTTCAATGGGATAGTCCAAAACAAATGTGGGTTGCAGAAGCTTTGGTTCAACAACAATTTCAAAAACCTGGAAAAACAAAATAACATAACAGCTTACCATGACTTCATAAGGGTAAATTGCAAGGCTAGCAAAAAAAATAAGTAAAACAAGTCCACGTCACTAGGAACTTTTTACATGCAGTTTCCAGTTATGTAAGTCAACATGCTCAGCTTGAATCTCTGTTTTCATCCACAAAAGTAACTCTGGTTCATAAATAAGAAATTAAATTTTACCTCGTTAAGGAGGTGGCCTAGAGAAGGGCATGCCTCAATGGCAAACTTATCCTTGCTGTCAAGCTCACTTTCAAGTGTCCTCACAACAACATCTTTTGCAACTTGAAGATCATTTTTCAACTCACTGAAATTAATCCCAGCGGCTTCTTTAACAAGATTGTGCATGGTTTCCCTCCTCCATGGCCGCTCCAAACATATCTCCACCCCCTGCATGGAAGGAGCACATTAGTTGTTGCCAGGCTTGCATACCTATTCTTATCAGACATTACGAAATAGAAACCTAAAAATAAACTATTAAAAACCTCAGAAGAAGAAACTAAACTAAGGGCACTTGTTTTCTTTTAGAGAGTAGAGCAGCTTATGATTAATTTGAAATCCAGTAACCAGGCTCTTTTTTCAACACAAATAATATAATTTGACATTTCCTACTTGTGTTCATAAATATAACCTTGTAAGTAATTTATACATATACCCTCATTAATACAAACATGAATATGATTTCTCTTATTGAGCAATTGATGCTCAATCATGCATTCTGATAACAGGAGCATCATTACCTGGTAATCAATGGTAAGCTTCCCTTGAACTGCAAGAGCACATTGTGTGACAATTTCCTCAGCCATGTCCATCATACTTTGATAGTCCGAATATGCTTCATACATCTAAAATCAAGCTAATTGCAGTAATGGTAAGAACTCTATCCAACAGAAACATAACGCTCACATGGACCATTATCTGATTGGCATTTGATTTGATATCATATAAAGTAAATTTGTATTAACTGCATGCCAAATCAATGTTTTTAATATCAATATAACTACCTCTATAGTAGTAAATTCAGGATTATGACGGGTTGAAATGCCTTCATTTCTGAATATTCTACCAATCTCGTATACTTTTTCAAATCCACCAATCTGAAATTAGAAGATTCAGATCTTGTTGAGGAAATATATAGACATAAAAGGCAACTCTTAGAATCATATTCCAAGGAAAGGAACAGTAAGAGAAATGTGAAGGAGTAGTATTAAAAAAATAAAATAGAATAAGGATGTCCTTCTCCAAGGCTGTCCAATTTGAAAAATGCTGTGCAAATTTCCTACTCCCTTCAACCTCTAATCTGTCTCTCGAGTCAAGCATAGTATGCTAGAATGAAATTTGTTAATAGATAGAAAGGAGAAGAAAAGTTTATCAGGAAACATAAAATATTCCTGAAATTTGACAGTGAAAATATGTTGTATCTCACCAGCATTCTTTTCAAGTGAAGTTCAGTTGCAATTCTCAGATAAAGATCCCTTCCAAGTGAGTTGTGGTATGTGACAAATGGCCTTGCTTCAGCTCCACCAGCTGCTCCCTAGTTGATCAGATCAATTAGTAACCATACTCCAACCAAACTTTTGACTCATAAACAGCACCAAACAGAAAATATGAATGAAACAACTGACATGTTCTCTTAGAACTACTAACGCTCACCCCTCCCACCACTCCCAAGCATTGTAGAAGAGGCAGTATAATCAAATAATTTTTGAAGGCTCTAGTATCCCCATCTCTTCTACAACCTCACTCTTACTAGAAACTGTAACCTTAAAATTCTGAATCTTCCTGAACACCCTCACTTCATGCACGTTTCATTATCATGCTATCACTCTGCCATTAAGTTAAAATTGTTAGACTAGATGGCATAAAGGCCCAAACTTGCTCAAAAAAATTAATTAGGAAAAACCAGTGTGAGTTGCAGCTTGTCCAAAAAAACTTGTTTATAGAAAAGCCCACCCAGCCGTCATCTCAAGAACATTAAGTACTGTTTTAATTCTCATATCAACACACCAGAAAGCAGTAACACTGTCAATTTTTGTGACCAGGACAAGGCTATTTAACAAGTCTGATAAAAACCCATTCAGGATTATAAACAACATTTCACAGCAAGATTACAATGGTTACAACATTCATTCATATAGCTCTAAGAAAAGCCAAATGAAAGAAACAATACAATATTCACAAACCTGTAAAACTGGAGTCTCAACTTCAACAAAACCAAGAGATTCCACAGTCTTGCGTATCTCTGATACAATCTATCAAAAGAAAGTTCAGTTAAGAATAAAATTTTCAAGTTCAACAGAACTGTGCCAGCCTATTGATCAGAATAAAAGCAGTCCAGAAAACATAGAAGGAAACCTAGATTAAGAAGACTTCTAACAGCATGCAGAATTGGGGACAGAGAACCAACCTTTGCCCTTTTCCTGAATACATCAGCTACCTCAGGATTTGCAATCATATCAACGTACCTAAGGATAGCAAAAATGAAAGGATTTGAAAAGGGGAAAACATGAAGATCTTATTGAAGCTAAAATTAAAACTGACAAAGAATAGCAGGACTGACTAACAATTTCAGCATCACAAGGTCACATATTAAATGTAGGAAAAAGCTTCTCAAATACTTGTCATTGTCCAAAATCTTACATCCATGGAGGTAATATTTTTCTATACGACATTTTGATTAAATTCAAAATAAATGATATTGCAAGATTCTAATCCTTTGTCAAGTATCACCTGGACCATAGGACACCAAGAAAATAGTCATTCTACAAGAGCACTACCTTAACGCATTATAATTAAAATGAAATTCAGTAAAAAAACTGTTGAAATAGAAATGACAGAAATGGTAGTGAACCTTTGGCGATAGCGCTTATCCACATCAGTTAGACCATGATATTTGTCTGGCAGTGGAAGTAGAGATTTTGTAAGAATAGCAAAAGAATCTACAACAACAGAAAGTTCCCCTGAACAAGAAACCAAACAGAGGGATGAAGTTTGACAAAAGATAATACAGTAAAAGGCAATGATCAAGTAAATCACAACTGCATTTTGGTCAGAAAAAGAAAGCAATAGGGGATGCTGCGGAGCAATTATCTTGAGCCAAAGATAGTACCTTTCTCTGTCCGCTTCATTGAGCCACAAGCGCCCAATATATCACCAATATCAACAAGCGTCTTTAACTGCTCAAACTGATCATTTAAAAGCCTTTCCTTTTCACAGTAAAGCTACAACCCAAAAAAATAAAAGAAGAAGCAAGTTCAGGTTCTACCTTTGTTTTAATCCCTACACATCACCAACTTCTGCCAGATGAATAGTTCCAAATAGTGGAGAGCAGTCAACAGTAACCAAGAACAATTAGAAAACAGAAGGCAAACCTGAATTGTCCCAGAATCATCTCTTAATGTCAGAAAGGCAAGCTTCCCAAATGCTCTGCGAGCAACAATTCTCCCTGCAATAGAAACATGATCATCCTCACTATTTGACTCTTCACCATTGCCTAGATTCCTGTAAATATCTTGGAGCCGATTAGCAGTGTGCGTCCTCTCCCACTTATAAGCATACGGCTCTAAGCCTTTGTTTCTCAGCTCTTCCACCTATAAAATAAGAATGATTTAGCTAATGAAATAAAACTAGAGTCCTTGAATTTCTTGTTTTTTATTCAGATTCTCAAGAGATGAAACAAATGGAAACCTAAAGCCTCAAATATCTTCCTTTCCTCCTAGACTCTGCTAAATATGTAAAATAAACTAAACAAGCAAATTAGTTCCATCAACCAACACCCCATGAAGAAGAAAAACATGTACATGTATTTATGTATGTATATCAGAGCAAATTGCCTTCCTTTTTATACTCTTTTCTTTTTGCATTTAAATTCTACCATTATCCTTAGCTATAAAGAATCCAAATTTAGCTTTCCTTCCCCACATTTCACTGAAAATAATGACCCATGTAGATGCCGAACCTGAACGCAGAATCGATAAAGAGACCCTCCAAACTCCTAAATAAGTTTGGCAAGGAAGAGGGATGGTGGGAACCTGAGGGAACGTCCAGTACCTTCTTGAGGCGGATGGCGCGGATGGCTTCGCGGTCGGAAGTATTAGAGGCGGAGGAAGAAGAGCGACGATTCCTAGTGGTAGAGCCGGCACCGGAAGTGGTTGTGGAGCAGTTCACCACAAACGCAGAATATAGTCGCTTACCGGAGGAGAAAGGAGAGGAAGACTGGAAGAGGCGACTGAAGGGCCTCGCCGATAGGTTCCAAACCTTCAACGCCTCCATCTTCACGAAGCTCTGCTACGATTAGCGTTCCTCTGTGCCTTTTTCTATTTATCAGATTTTTTAACCCTTTCTTTTTTTTTTCTTTTTTTTTTTTCACTTTGTTGTTTGGAAACTGAGAAATTGGGTCTGTTTGGATCGAGAGAAAATATTTCTCCGGATAATTTCCTTCAAATAAATAATGAAGATAATGACAATTAACGGAATATTCCATTAATTCGAGAAATTAGTCCTTTTCAATGGTATTATACAGAGTTCTTGAACAGAAGAGAAGGTAAATAAATTGGATTTACATTTCAGATTTAAGAGTACAAAAGGTTTCCAAGTGATGAAAATTCATGACTTTCCTTCAAAATTTCAATAAAAATGGAAAATGGTGTACAAAAAAGGTGATTTTGGTTGAGTTCAGTCCCTTCTGGTGAATTCTCCTCGACCCATCAACTGGTCGCATCCGAGTTTACAAGCGACGGTGCATCGATCGCTGGTGGCTGTCTTCACTTTCATGCACAAGGGCATGCAGTATTCTATGCACATCGGAAATTCATTGTCTTTGTTGGTAGCCATCGCCGTTAACACAGAGATCATCAGTATCAGGAACGCTCCGGAGCTTTTGTAATCCATGCTTCTTCTGCAATGAATGTCGGGTTCCTCTGTTATTTGATCGCCATGTACAATTGAAAAGCTTCTGAATTTGAGGGGTAAAGAGAAAAATGAGGAGCTGTTTGATGAAATGACGAAATGGGGTTCACTTTGATTTGGTTGAACGGTCATTGTTGATTTATTTAGACCCATCACCAACCTTCCATCAAACCCTTATTAGAATGCCAATTGCCCATTTGTTTATTAGGGTTTTGCAGAGATTGGAATTGGTCAGGGGATGTACTTTTTTAATTTATTGTAGCAAAAAAAAAGGGGGAAAAACCGAAAATTTTTATTAAGAGAAAAATGGGTTTTGAATCTTTTAATTGAAGGATCTAAATTTTTTTATTTTTTTTTTAAATCCCAAAAAAATCCTTATAAAAATGGATATATATATATATATATATATATATATGAATCCATAAATCCAAAAGGAGGCTTTAGACGGAGTGATTGGAGGATGGGGTTCAATGGGGTGTTAATTTCGGCGGTGGCTGACGCGTCGGTGGACGCCTGGCAGCAGATTTTATCCATACGTGAGAGGCTGAGCAGCCAGCAGTTGCTTGAGATCCTGTGCTGTTACCCTCTGCAGCAACTGGGTCGATTCGCGCTCTGCCTCTGGAATTTCCTGTGTCTTCCACCGCCGGATTCCTACTACACTTACTATTACTCCTCCTCTGAATCCGATCGCCTTCCTTATCGTCAAGAGAGTTAGTCCTCTTCCTCGTCTTCCGTTGTTGACCTTGATGACTACCACTACCACCCCCATTCAGATTGATTACCGCGTGTGACCTCCGAGTTGTCTTTTGAGATGATCTTCTTGCAGAGTAACTCGTCTTTTCTTTTTGCTTGATTTCTCTGTGCTTATATTTCAGTTTTTCTTATTCTGTGTTCCTTATTGCTTGGTGGAGTCATTGCCTGTTGATCCTTGGATATGGTAGATTAAAAGATTGAATTTTGAATGATTAGCCTATTATTGAATTCATGGAGCAGGATTCCATTTAAAAGAAATATGGTATCCCAATGGGAATGAATGACTGCAACTTATAATGTAACTTCGAATTGATATATTCCGATGATGGTAGCTTCTAATGATGCTTAAATCCAGTTAGATAGGAAAATAGTTAGCAGACAGTTAAAAGGAAGCTGAGAAGCTAATGAGATGGGTAAGACTGAATATGTAATAGAAGGACAAAAAATGAGTTAAATGGAATATTGGAATTGTTAATTTATATTATAAGACATGAAAGAAACTGATACCCGCTTGCTCAAAGTTGGTTATGGGAGGACTAGCTAGCTATATGGGATTTGTAATCTCATTAGGATGGTCATGGCTAACAGGTGCTATTTCACTGAGATAATAGATAAAAAATGGTTTTGGTCCTCCACAAGTTTCCTGTCTTTCATAGAGTAGCTGGCTATCTTCAACAATGAGATGAAGCACCTAAACAACACTTGAATTTCAGACTCTTGAATTGGGTGAGACTCACTGACCTTAGAAATAATTGGGAAGTTAGTTAAATATTCGTGGACTTGTGTAACATAGTGAAAGAACTGCAGTTACTGTTCACATATGTTCTTATGAAAGACAGGAGTTGATAAACTTATGGATCAGTTGGAGGGATATCATGTTGTTACTGAAATAAGGGCTCTGATTACAAATGATGCAGTGAGATTGAGTTGTTAAATCCTTATGGTTAGGCACCACCATAATCCTTCACATGAAATTTGAGAAGGCCAACTCTAAAGAGGGTTTAATTGAGAAACAGAATGTGATTGTCTCAGTGGTGAACTTTGTAGTATGGGGAAACAGAAGCTGGAGGCATATGAATCTCCAGTTCCCTGTCTTTAGTTCCCAATAAATTAGTCAAGAAAATGTTATTTGTAATGCTAACTAAAATTGCCAAGAAAATGTTGTTTTTAACTCTAAGTACAAATCAATCTTGTTATCTTTGCTTCAAATGCCCTAGTTTTAGCAATCCCAAGATCTCAATGTAAACAAGACCTTAAGAAGATTAGGCATTGTCCACCTGGATAAGTCATATATGCATTATTTCAGCCTGTTAGACGTCTTGCCAACAATTTGTACGCTCAACAAGTTCATTTTAATGCAGAGGGGTGGTAAATGTCCTTCAATCCGCTCTTGTGTTACTGCTTGTTGAAGATTATATTTCTTTTTGATGTAAAGGGATAGAGAAATGTTAAAGCATCATAGCATGTTCAGTCTGGAAACTTGAAATATACTGGACATCTATAGGTCTTTTGGCATTGGGTGCTGAGACAGTCTCTAAGTCATGAATCTATTTGTTTTCTTAAGAGACTGGCTGATGAAGTTCATTTCTCCCTTGGGGATTTGCAGGTTGATGAATTCTATGGTCTCCTGGCCATGCAATATAGAGTTACAACTTGAGAGGAAGCTGATTGGTTAGAGATGGTTGGTTTGCTAGTTTAGGCTTGTGATTTGTCACTTGTGCAGTTCCATCTGATAAAGGGGGAAGCTTCTTCTCCAGTAAGAGACTTTTTACTACTTCTAATTAAGATGACATTTTACATGTAAAAACATCTTCATATAGACTTGAATATTCAAGCTCTTGGAATTTGATTCATCCCATTCGGGATTTGTATCTGAAAGGAAACAGATTTTTTGATATTATAATCTCAAACAGTATGTGAATATTTTTTAAAGCAATTTTTCTTGTTATTGTGCAAGCATTTGTGGTAAACTTTGAAATGCATATCTCATCATTGACTGAAAAGAGGGTTTTTTCTTATTCTAATCCAGAATGCATTCTAAGTCATGCTTATTTTATTTATAGAATGATTCTCTTTTTGTGAGTGTGAGTGTGTGTGTTTTCCATCGCCATGTTATGGACAGGAAAACTGCATTGTCTGTTAACACTGGTGATCCTCTCAAACCATATGAAATTTCTAGCACTCTCATTTGTCAGACAACACAACCTGTACAACGCCTTCTACATTTTCCGCATGGCTAGAAGAAACATGTTCTAATATAAAGACCTGCTTCATTGTACAGTATCTACCATTCCTTTGTCCTTAAGGTGTCCTTTGGTTCTTGGATGGTAGCTGTTTATAAATGTCTAACAACTAACACAGAGACGTGTGGCTGGTAGCTATTATGTGAAGGACAAAGCCCCTATTTGCACCCTCCATTTATTTCTTTTCCGCGGTAAACACCTTTCGGAATTTTTTCTCCCTATTCACACCTTCTACTTTTCAAAACTTGTAAAAAACCTCACATTTTAACGCACCGTCACGGTACCGTTACAAAATGTACTACGTGGTACTCAAAAATTGACGTGGCCAATATATGCCGTTAGTAATTCAATGTGGATGCCTTTTTTGATGACGTAATTTACTTAAATAAAAAAATAAAAAAATTTGTTCGGGTTCCCGAACCCAGAGGAAGGAACCCGATCTGGGTTCCTCGTCGCAAGGAACCCAGAGTCGGGTTCCTCCGGAGGAACCCAGCTCGAACCCGCTGGGTTCCTTGTGAGGAACCTGATCTGGGTTCCTCGCCGAACCCAGAGCTGGG